ACCCTGGAACATCACGACAAAAACAGTTTCAGCAGAGATTTTACTTCAGTTCACTCTTTTTTGTAGTTTTAGTTTATTTTTGTTCTCTGTTTGCTAGATTTACAACAAGTTGGACTCATGCTATATACTACAGAAGTACATTTTTTCTCAGCAGCTTTGTAAATGGCACAGGTACACATTGTGCAGTATGTAGTGGACATCAGACCAGGACATGGAGGGCTCATTTCATCCATTACTAGTTTTCATCACAGCTTCTAGATCTCTGCCTTTTGGCTTTGCCAAACACCTATTGTTACATTTTTGCACATTCACAACCTATTTTTTTGACATCTCCCAGTCAAACCTTCTAGTGCTGATTGCAAAGCTGATTGCTGATTGTGGTTAAGCAAAGCATTTTGGATCTAAAAGTGATGCACAATTTGATGCAGTCTACCAGAATGGAATTGAATGAGCCCTCAGTCTTACACCATGTCAGAACTCAAACCACTCTGGAATATCCTCAGATGCACATGTATACAGTACCTCTAAGAAGTATATTCTGCTTTTGAAAAGCACAAGCAGAGCACCATCTTTTGTCAATCGGTCAACTCATGTCTGGTTTTCTCAGCTAAAGCTTAGCTTTATACCACATTCCTTCAGCTATAGCCACATTTGTACACTTGGTCCTAGCAGTATATTGATACCTTGAGCAAGGAGAACTGCATTGTACCTGTCTTTGCAAGTCTTCTGCTTTTCATGTTAGGGTCACTATGGTAAGTGTTCTGAGGTGTAAAACACCATGTCCTAGTCTGGAATTATACAATAGTTCTGATCAGCTAACTCTGCCAAGGACACAGATACATCCCAGCACGGATCTGGAGTATTGTGTGATATGGATCTTGAGTACCACTCATTACTACATTCAATTTGTACTTTATATTAATATTAAAATCACTCATTGATTCTGCTGTATTCAATTAGGGAATTGGGGTGGGAATTATTTCTCATCAAAAAACAGGAAGATTACAATGAATGCATCAAAATTAATTTTGTTACAAAATGAGCACATTTTTGCCCAAATTTCTTCTACAACTAATATTTTTTTAACAGTAGCCAGCCACACGTACAATAGAATTCTGTAGTCAATAATCCTTTCAAGTACCTTTGCCTTCATATTCCTTATTTGGAGTTTCCATAGAGACAACCTTTCAACTTTGCCCCTTGCCCTCTGCCCTCATTTGTAGAACTTCATCTCAGTCTCCACACAGTCTATGAACAATTCGCGAATCTCGTCCTCGTCCGCCATATCTTGCGCCGCATCCTTCAGGAACGCTTCCATTCCCATGATGCACTGCTCCTCCAGCTCTCCCATTGTCTTCTGCAACTCTTTCCGCTTATCCTGAAAAATATTTGTGAGCAGATCAAGGTACTTGCATTTTTGTTATTCAACTGAATTTTTGTTATTGAACAGCATAAATCATAACATTGTTATTGATGAAGGAGACCTTATCTAATTGAAAGTACCTGTTATACATAGAAACCTTGTCCAGTCATTTGACTTCATTTGTTTTTAAACTGCACAATGTGGTACTCAACATTTTTACTCAACATTTTATCCCCCAGTGCCATATTGATGGGGATAAGGAAGACAAAGATGAGAAAGATTATGCAGCCTTTTGACGCCAAGTTTGCACTGGTTATGCAGTCAGACAGTAGGGAGAAGACTGGTAATACAAAGTAGGTGAGTGCATGTACACAATAACTGTGAAAAGCACAGCAAACAATTGCAAAGTATACCTGGTTGCCCTCTGCTGCCATCATGGCTTTCTCGTGTGCCCGGTACAGGGGGTGCCTACGGTCCACCGTTGACTTGAACCGAGGCTTTATCCTCGCTGGGTCGTCTGCCCCTCTCTCTGGCGAATGCGTGTACTTCGCGATCTCCACTCCGTCACAGAAAATAAAGGGTTTGAAGACGGATTTGCTGGGGTCAGGGGTCGCAGTGAACCAATGGCAGCAGGGCGTGCCCGTGTCGGGAGGGGGGAGGATGGACACCATAGACGCCGTTGTTCGGAAAGAGCCGTCCATGTTGATTCCGCTCTTCTTGTCTCTCAAGATGGTGAACATTGTTTGAGCCTTGATGGATCCTGTGTTGGGAGGGAAGAACAAAATGAAAACTTTGCATTCATAATATAAAAGTTTTATGCAACTATGAGTAAAGCCTGAAATGCAGAGATTGCTTCATGTAAATGCTAACATAAACCTTTGCAACAAGTAACTAATTCTTAAGATTATTGAGAAGAAGATTCTCCAAGAAGGTTATGTTTTCAGGTCTGTGTGTTTTTGTACAGCATAACTTTAAGAAGCTGTGGATGGATCTTTGACATACTGATATTTAGTTACATTATGTAGGAATGTGTCAGCAATGAAGAACAAGTTCGATGTAGGTCTCCTAGTGGCTTTCTTTGATACTGCAGCAGGGCTTGACATTTTCATTTCTGATATTTTCTTACTGACAAATTTAGGATCTAGGTATGAAGTCATTTGATCTATAACAAATAATTTTAGCAACCATAAATGCATGTTCATGTCATGTACATGTAGTGTCATGACATTAATTCTACCTACCGTTACAGCAGTACTCCTGATTTTAATCTAGACTGCAACCATCAAGTTTACCATCAGATTCCTATTATCAACTATATTACTGACATCTTAATAAATGACCAATCAAGCAATTAATTAAACTCCAGACAGATTGATTACACCTAATCAGAGTTGGGTATGACTTGCACCAAATTACGTTGGCCACAACGCTCACGGTTAAAATCAATCCTGTGAGTGAGTGAAAACCTGGCTGTTTTGGGCGCCCAGACCATCTGTAGTCACCAGGACATCCTGGGCAAGAGTTACTAATTCTGGGGCAATTTTTGGCTAGCCTGGAGCCTTAATGAATCAATAAACTGCATTAATCAGTCTTCAGACACATCCATCATGTAGTTGGGTTTGCTCTGTGGACTGGGCAATGCATCGATGCATCTGGGTAGGACTGGTGGGGTGCATGTACATATAGTTAATTGTATTACCATGTATTCTACATGGAAGTACTTGACAATGTTTGCATACTATGGGAAGGAGACTACATGAAGTTTACTGTTATAGTAACTGCATTATAACTGATTCAGTGAAGATTCTTATACATACATGTATACATGTATACATGTATATGTAGGACTGTTGTAATGCATGTACAGTAATGGTTGGCTATGACAATTGGGTACATGTACATGTATATTCACTGTTGCACAAGAAGCCCTACAAAGAGCAAAAGTTAGGGAAGCTACTGTGATATCTTCAAATGAAATGGGTACCGATTATACATATATATAGTTACAGAGTTAGGCAGATGATGTGACCGCGTTGTTCTAAAGTTCCAGTAACTTCGCAGTCTTATTAGTCAATAGGGATGTGCAGGATCTACGTTTAAGTACCAAGGAACAGACAGTCTCTTACCTGAGGCACAGGAGGATCTAAGTCTACATTAAGTACCAAGTACCAGACATTAACAGACAGTCCCTTATGAGGATCTAAGTCTACAGTAAGTACGAAGAACCAAACACTCTCTTACCTGTGGCACAGAAGGATGTAAGTCTAAGTACCAAGTACCAGAAAGTTCTTTACCTGAGGCACAGGCAGATCTAAGTCTAAGTACCAAGGAACAGACAGTTCCTTACCTGGGGCACAGGAGGATCTACATGTAAGTCTACATGTAAGTACCAAGTACCAGACAGTACCAGACAGTTCCTTACCTGAGGTGCAGGAGGATAAGTACTAAGGAACAGACAGTCCCTTACCTGAGGCACAGTAGGATCTAGGTCTACAAATGTGAGTACCAAGTACCAGACAGTTCCTTACCTGAGGTGCAGGAGGATCTGGGTCTACAAAATAATGTAAGTACCAAGTACTACCAGTCCCTTACCTGAATACTTCTCCATCAACCTCTTCCCAGCGCCGGCCCTTCCCGTGGGGTCCTCGTCGATGTTGTTAGGCAAGTCTTGGCTGTAGGCACGTGCGAAGTCAAAGTCCCCCTCATCAGGCGACCAGTAGTTGTGTTTCTGGGCGTGTTCCTTAAGGCCCTCAGACATGGCATCGAGTTTGGTCCGGATACTGAGTTCGTTTGAGATATTACGGCACCCGCCTGCAGACATACAGTGAGTAAGGGTGATGACTTGGATACTAGAGGGGGATCAATCCATTCTTACTTGCATGCATAATCCCTACAGCTCTGAGGGCAACAGTCTTTGTATGAGGGCAGCTCAAGACTACCCTGACACACTTCTACCGGGTATTCCATTTCACATGTACGGGTATGAAATTGCAGTGACTCATCTATAATGATATTCATCTACATAAGTCTCGTGATTGATTGTACATTGTAGCTACAACTCTGAACTTCAGTTTGTCTTTTAGAGCCATGTATAAATGACTTTCTTTTTGCCACATCTGCCATTTTTCTCAGACCGTGAACTTTTGCTACAGCAAACATAAAGTGATTTACAGTATATCGAGGCACTGTCAGAACCTCTTTCTCATTGAATATCAGTCGTGAAATGTGAGCATCTATAAGAATACTCTGTAGATTATCACATACTAATTAAGGAACTTTATTTGAGTGTCTGTTAATTCAATTAACTTTTATAATTATGCCCAATCAAGTATTCTAATCAGAACACACATATTAGGTCTCGCATAAACATTATCAGCAAGCCTTTGGTTATTGCTAAAAAATTATGTGTAGATATATTCATTAACATTATTGCTGTACACATAATTTGGTGTAAAATACTTGCTAAAACTAAAGTGGCTTGGAAAATGTCAGTATGCAAAGCTTTGTCGAATGCTATCCCAAATTCACATGATGCACATGGCCTGAATAACAATTTATGTGAACATCTTAAAAGATGTGACGTGTGTGGCCTACAGAAATGGAGATTGGGGCAGCCATATGCACCATGAATGGTTGTGGGGATGACTTAGATCTTCTCTCTCTCCTTCACCACATATCAGAACTTGGCACTGAGGCAGGCCGTCATTGTCTTTCACAGTTTTTGTTTGTTGCACTCCCTTGCGTCCCCCTCCCATCCGCAACCAATCTCAACGTCCCACTTGACTTGATTTAACTTTAACAAAAATTGAGTAGCTTGAAAGTGATTTTGGAATGAATGAATGGATGGATGGATGAAAAATGAATGAATGAATGACTGATGGAAACACTGACTGGTGATCCTCTCAGCAGCCCACAATCTGGAGGCTGTCTCCAGCACCCAGGCTTCTCTCCTGTCAGCGATGATGAAGCTGTTGTCGTAGCACCAAGGTGTCCCCCCCTCCTCCATACATGGTCCGCCCTGCCCATGCTGCTCCAGTAGTGTGGTCATCACGTCCAGGGCTTCTTTGGCCGTGGAACCTCGTTCAAGTCCAAGTCTGGGGGACATTGAAGTACACAATCATTGTGTAATTAACTTACAACATTTGGAAATACAAGTCCTGCTGTCATAACAGTTAACATATAAAACTAAGAAACCAGCTGTAATAAAACAAGATGCATTCCTTTGATAATCAGTCAAAATTACTGCTAATTTGGTGATTGTCACTGATAAGAATCTTAAACAATAGACGTTTTCTAGCTTAAAACATCAGCTAACAATGAGACCCAGGATTAGAATGGAAGGTTGCAAATAAACAACTATTAGGGTCTACTTGTAGTTGACCTTAGCACCATTGCCTAATTAGCCTTGCTCAAGAGTTCAGAACAACTGGAGGTCTTTAAAACTTTACTGAGCACACATGGGAACACAGGAATGCTAAAAGAGGAGGCTGTTGCAAACAACCATCAGGGTTTAGTTGGCCCAATCATTCCCCTGACCTTTGCCAGTTTTGTTGGAGTTCAGACCCTCCCGTCTGTTTCAGCAGCTGATCCCCATTACACAGCTGGGTGACCTGAGCCACAGGGTCAAGTTCACATTGACACCAGATTCAATTACACCAGCTTCTGTGGGGTTAACCTTACTAATGTCAAGGGCCTGGTCATGATGCCAAGGTCTGATCAGCCTTGACACTCACAGGGTTAAAGTCGGACTCTGGTGAGAGACCACTACTGCTGCCAGGTCAGTCAAACAGAGGCAATTTTAGATACTAGTACTACTAGCATGTGGGGTGGTGGATTGGGAAGAGATACTAGTTTTTTTGTGTCTTTTTGAACAACTCTATTTTGTTCAAGCCAACCTGATTATGAACAACGATATCACTTCGGATCCATATTGATATCATTGAATTGCTTTAAGACAGACAGATATGGTTATCCCAAGATGTTAATGAAGATGGCCGGTATGAATAGCCTGGGTATCACCCGTGTAACTTGCTAACTGACCATGGTTAGGGAGGCATAAGACAGGAGATTATACTGCAAGAATTAGTATACTACAGGAGGCTACAAGAAGTACTTGGTTACCTGATTTAAATTAAATTAAAACGATGGACAGTTTACAAGTAGAACAATCACAGAAAAGTACTGTTTTCTGCTAAAAACCAAACTTAATTCTCAAAACAAAGTCTCAGTAGAAGTGGTGCTCACTCTAAAGTTACCTGAGCAAATCCATTCCCAGCAGCCTCTCTTCCTCTGTGTCAGGTCCGCACAGCTTTGACCATACGGCCTCGTTCCCGATGCAGACTCCGTGCTGATTGGCTCCCATCTCCGCGCCCCACATCCATGCCGGCTTGCTCAGGATAACGGCGTGCGTGTGTTCCACTTGTGGTATTGTGATGTACGTACACTGAGGTGGGGAGGGGGGCAGAAAACATTCTCACGTTAAAAAAACAGATGGTAAGGCAAAGAAATGATGTAGTCTACATCAGCAGCATTATTGTATTCTATTCTAATAATTGCATAATCACCACATTACAATTAAATCCAATGAATTCAATCATATGAATCAAAATGTCATCTTTGAAGCCTAGAAAACACTGTATACTAGTATATGACACATAGTTTAATCACGGGCAAGGTACATGTTTATTAATTGAAAGAGCAAGATTACAATGGCACATTTCAGTTAAGTATCAAAGTACTTTCAGCACATATCTAGATCATTGCATGTTTCTATAGGATATATAGTAATACACATCCTGCAAGACCTTAATGACTAGATAATGAGACAAGCATATACCAACAAGCTCCATACAACAATTTTACATTCAGCACCAAGGACAGTAATTCTTCTTCAAACACAGTTAAATTTCGAGAATTTCGTACTAAAATTCCACAACCTCTAAAGAAGCAAAGAGGCATCATAATGTTGAGTTATATAGACATATATACGGCTGACGCTAGTTTGTATTCACCCACATTTCCCTGAGCTACAGATCGTTCATTAGAGCCAAGTTGTAATTTTCCCCAAATCAAAGGTGTCTGAATTCATTACACCTCTAGTCCCTTACATCGTCAATATCTCCCCAGGGACAGCAGAAATATTGGGGATCCTCCGGGAAACCCGAGTAAATAGGGCAAGTACTGCTCCCAGAGTGCTTTAATACGGGAATACATGTCATGATGGATACGTTAGGGACATCCCCGCACTTTAAGGACCTTCCAGAGATCAATCAAAAATACTTTTAGGTAGATTTATCAGACCACTATCTAGATGGTATAGTTACAACTTTGAGCACACTGACAGGGACTTGTCTGTTGAATGCTAAAAAAGAAATTGGTAAAATTGGGTAAAACAGCTTTTTACAAAATTTCATGCAAGGAGGGCTTAATTGTGAATGCTCTATACTGTTCTTCATCACAGTGTATTGTTATTGACTGTAATAGTAACTAGTGTATCAATCAAAATATAGATAGACATTCCTTTTTACATGTACATGTACAAACAAGGACTATAAACTCTTCATATCACTACAGTGTCACAAACTATGAAGCTGTCATAGACATCTTTCATAAATATAACAGGTGTACAAAAACAAAACATGAGAAAAATGTATTTTTAAGTCAGTCAAAATGTGCATTATGGAGAATCTAAAAACACACAACACTATGATAACTGACTGTTCAAATGAAAGCTCATCTGTGTTGGTTTTGATTTACTCCTGATGTCATCACGCTTCCAGAAAATCAGCCTTGTGGATCATACATCTGATGAAGGTTGAAGAGATCAACTGAAAATTCATGGTGAGTTCCCTTCTTGTACATTATGTGTTGGAACAAAGCTTAAACCCTACAACTAAAACTGATTGTTGACAAGGATACCCCTGAGGGTGGAATGTAAGTAGTTTGTAAAGAGGACCCATTTAACAGCCTGGGGTATTGAAATTGAGCAGGGGCAACAACATCACATCTGGGTCAGGATGGAGCCATCTTGGATACTACAGGAGACACCATCACAGTAAACTGTGCTGACAAGCTGCCATTTCTAGAATCTTCAAGCCAAAAGATGGGCACGCAAAATTTATTTTCTTGGTTGAGGAAACTGTTTATCAATATGACCATTCTTTTTTGTAAAGTTGAAATGTATAGAAAAAGGAGGCACTTTGACATAAGTCTAGAATAGTTTTTTATGAAGTCACAACATAACGTCATCCAATTGTCAAAACTAGTCCTAAATGTTTGTTGCAGCTGTGGTTTTAGTTTTGCTCGTTAATACGACAGTTACCATTGTGTTTTAACATCATATCAGGTCATAATATATTTTCACCTCAGAAAATGAGACCAAGTACAGATGCTGTCACATGAACCAGTAGCTTGGCTTTGTTATTGTATTTAAGTTTTTATTTGTTAATTGGTTGATTGATTGCTTTTCATAGTGTAGGTTAAAACATGAAGCAAGGACATTATACATATATAATGTCCTTGCATGAAGATATTATGTTATAGAGATGGCAGACTTTAACCCCTTCCTCTAGGCATGGGAGACACGAAAACACACATGCAAACACAGACACACGCTATTTACTTTGCTCCCTTGAGGGCGAAATAAAAAAGCAATTTTCCTTTCCAGAGACTTTGCACACATAGTCCATCTCATCTGTTCCCTCTACATGTCCTATCCTATTTCCCATGCACAACACATGCTCAGCTCCAACCAATATTGCCCTGCATCCTGTCAGCAAACCAAGCAATCTTCCGCGCCCTACTTTATCAGTGGCATCATGACACCAGCAATACATCCTACGGGCTTTGAAATTTAGTGTTGAATAGTAGACATTCATGGACTGCAAATGGGGTGATCAAGGCATAAGTCTCTTAACAAACTTCTGGAGATAAAAGCTTTGAATAGGTGTGTACGTGTGGTTCTGTTTCTTGAACAGACTTTTATGTGACTTAAAAGCAAAGGTAATCTTAGGCAACAAATTATTAATGTGTGAAAACTCTGAAGGATCTAGGTTAGAATTAATATCTATCACTTATATATGCAGCAAGAAATGCTTTATTTCTTAGCTGTAAAATTACAATATGTTTTCATAAAACGGGTAAAATACCTAGGATACTGGTTGTAAATCGTAGCATTTTATAGGACTCCTAAAAAAATCTAATGTGACATATCTGTGTCAAGCTGACATTGATATTTGACAGCAACGTGAAATAATGCCCTTATCATAAGTCTATAACCCAAAATAAATCACTGAATAACCCCTGTCCAACAAAAATAAACTGCTACAATCAAGGAAATAAGGACATCAGTTTTCTATAAACATAAAACTGAAGCAAAAACATCATATCACAGAAAATAGGTTTTACTGCGCCCATCAGAAATACAACTGCTGAGTTCTCTATGTCGTTCCCACCTCCCCAATTCCCACATGACCTTTCCCCCATCGCTGTGCCTGCTTTAAATGACTGCTCTTTATTTGAATCCCACTGTTATTACTCACATGGCAGCCAGTCTATAATATTCCACTGTAGCCTGGCTTGTAGACAATAAGCTAACAAAATTACAAAATAAATATTTCAGTATTGTCTGAAGTCAATGTCTAAGAAGATTATAAAAGGCGCGGCGTGACAGCTTCTTCTGCATTGTCTCCAGATTAATGGGGCCATCTAAGGCATGTCTGTATTTTCCTTAATCTGAAAGTAATACAGTCTCCAGGCTTAAGCTGATACATCATGGTTATGATTAATGTGCATTACTAATGGAGACGTTACATCATCTTTGGACAATATGTCAAAACTGTTGAATCTACAGGGGGCTTATACAGCATGCATGTGTGGATCAAGGAAAGGTTATGTTTGAATATAAAGGGTTACATCATATTTGTTTAAGGTTTATGTAAAAATTATGAACCTCTGCATAGAAGTACAAAATTTAAGGTGCACTTATATCCATATGATTTTTGATGTTATGGAATTAAGTTTAGTGTCTGGTTGTTTTTTTCTGGAATACTAAAACCAGAGCAAGAGTACCATTTCCATATTGCCATTCTTTACTACTATACTGCAGTGGATATTGCAAGTATGAAACAAAATGCTGGGTAAATTTGTGCTTATTTATGGTTTCTATCACCAACAGATAATTTATGTTCATAGCAAGAACAAACCACCATGGAAATATTTTTCCTATGCTTGAACTTAAACGTATCATACAACTGACTGCCTTCAGACAGATTTTATTACAGTCAAGTCTCGCAGAAGAAATTTGGAAGAAAGACAGGCCCACGAGACGGGGTCTCACACGAGCAGCAATAAAGTATGACAACGGGAAATGAAATTACTTCGACATTAAGGGGACGGATGAGGAATCAGAGCGAAGGCATCAGATAATTTGCTGTCTGTTTGGAGAGACGTTTAATTGAATTGCAGAATTAGCTTTGGAGCGGACGTACACACAGCAGCAACTAATTGCGAAATGAAAGGCACACATCAGTCGCTATAATAACATCAGGGAATCTCCCATCCTGCTCTGCTCTCTCCAGACACAAAATGTCATTAGGCAAAACTGGATACAGGATACCAAATATGCATGTGACATAGCACTGACCTTGGCGAGGCTGTACACTTAGTATTGTTTTTGAAAATGTATCTCTATGATTTTCTACATTGTATGTGGGGTTCATATATTTTGTAAAAACATTTTACACCATTTAAGTGCATTATATCTCTAGTATTATCATTGAACTTAAAAGCCTAATCAAAAGAAGATTTAACAGTTCATCATTTTCTAGTCTTTAGCATTCAAGATCCTCATTGTAGCAATTCTGCATTATTATGTACTTACATTGAAACATTGAAAGTGGAAAGAAAAGTTAGAGTCAGCTGAATCAAGAACAGTGTGACAAGATAACAAAAATATTGTGACAAGATATCAATTTAAAGAATACTGTAACCCAATATTCCAACATTCTTTTTAGCTGCATTTTACTGAGGCGATTTCTGAGCAAAACATGAGTGGATGACAACTAAAAGTCAACTATTTGACACCCAACTTGTAAAAGGGCAACAACACTGGAATAACATAGCAGCCCTTGAGATCAGCAAATGGAATCGAATAGCCACTTAGGGATTTGTCTTAATGAAGGATGCCCAGTGCCCAGATCTTCTGAGATGTATTCCAGCTAATGGAGGAAAGATGCTAGCCTGTAATCAAACTGGGAAGATGATTGCAGGGTAGATTGACCTATGGACAACATGCAGGCATGGTGCTGCTTTCAGTCTAGGCCATGTTGATTTGATTATATGGATGACATCCTCTGGGAACCCCAAAACTGATGCGAGCGCGCGAATAAAAAAAAAGTTTTGCAAAAAAAAAGTTGCTTTCATGAAATCTATGTTGTTATGAAG